AGATACATAGACACATACATGCATAGATGCATAGATGCATAGATGCATAGGTACATAGATACACAGACAGACACAAACACACACACACACACGCGCTTGATGCATATACATAGCAAAGTGTTTCTAGCAGAAAGGGCAAGTCTTGCTGAGGTTGTGATAGCTTAGCTTCCAGGACCCCAAACTTTCGGACAAAGCTGTGCGAGTGGCAGGTGCAAATTGAAAGGGTGTTGGCAGATCCTGAGGATGAAACCCAGCAATGGACCCAGAAATCCAAGGGCCTAAACATGTCCTGATAGCTTAGCATCGAAATCATCTGTCCCTCAGCCAAGGCCCAGACGTGGTATGGCAGCCCGTTTTGGCCACGTCGCCGCTTCAAAAATTGTGATGGGAAAGTTGTGCTGTTTAAAGCAAAGTATCAAAATATATCAAATACTAGGTTGACCCAAAAACTGTCTAAACAATTGATAATTGATGTAATATTGATTTCACCAACGAGGTGTGGTGCAAGTAGTACAGTGCACAGGTCCCGGACTGAAACCTCAAAACATTCCTACATCCTGAGGCTGCCCTACGCCAGCTGCAGGCCCACTTCAATTGTGGTTGAGTTGGAACCCGGCGTTGGCAGCAGGTTACATTCTTCTCAGTATGTTTTGCTTGGTACCACCTGTCTTGGCAGGTCCAAGTGGATGGCTTGCGTGCTCGTGTTCATCCCAAGGTTTCCAGATTCCAGTTGCTCTTGACATGTTCTTTCGGCAGAGATCTACAGTTAGCTGGTTATGCAGGTGCCAACTTACCCCGTCATGGATCTCTCCGTTCTTCGATTGGCTCTACATGAGGGCTATGCAAGTCCCGAACGCTTAAACGAAGTGCCGAAAGAGGTGCGCCTGACTGCCGATGTTTGATGATTTTGATGGTTGACAGCATTGGGCTTGGCCATGATGTCTCGTGGAATGGCAGGTGCAGCGCCATCCAGCGTCTCTGGATAAGATCCTGGAATTGGTGTTCCCTGCCTGCTTGTGCCTGACTTTCTGCAAACATTTATCACCTCAGATTTTCGTAGTGAGAGGGCTGGGTTAATATGATGCACCACTTCCAAGGATTTCAGCCCTGTCAGCAGTGGGGCAGTGGCAGGTTGGACTTTGTGCCCAGCTTTCCAGTCCGAATGCTACCGCAGATGGCTTGGACCCCAATCAGCCCTAATCCTGGCGACAATTGCTTCAGGGAATTTTGAACGACCCTTGGATGGCCCAGGAGAGGCGTCCTGGCCTGCATTGCGGTGGGCTTCCCAGAGCTTCTTGAGTTGGGCCAACCAAAGTTGGGACAAAATTGGGGTAGAAAGGTTGATTGAACATTTGCTTCTGATTTGGCAGATGAAGACTATATTCTTAGTCTTTTATATTGGTAGCTTGGGCTCAATGTAAGGAGCGGAGCGGCCCCTTGCAAAGTCTGCGAGGGCTGAAAGGTAGGTGATATTTTCCACAAGCGGAAAGACGGCAGAAACGCTACGCTCGACCATGGCACTGACACTGCCACAGGCTGGGAAACCAACAAATATTTAGAGATCGAGCAGTTGGATTTGAGGCATTTGATTTGTTCAAGATCTTGGAGTCATTTCTAGGTGAGACCAGCTGTGGCCCCTCATGAGCGATCACAAGCGCTTGGTTTGGATGACGTGGTCACAGTGTCTCGATCCTCAGGCTGGTGCGGTCTTCAGTCGATAGTTTGAAAAGAAAATTTGGAAACTCTGCGCTGATCGAACTCAAAAGTAGTTGCCTGATCGTGTGATCTTCTGTATGTGCTAATTCAATGGATTGTGGTAATTAAGGCACATATATCATATATAGAGCTATAGAGGCTAGACACACACACACACATCCTTAGTTCAACACGCAAGGCTTCATGAATTGTGTCAAATCAGACGATATCATTTGATGTCAGAACTTGGGATGGATGTCACTACATTCTTGGCAGAATCAAATCACATCAGAAACATAGACGTGTATCGGCGTGAAATTGGCATGTCAGTTCATGTCACATACCATACATCATATCTCAATATATCTCACGCAACATACATCATGTATCGCATAATGGTGTTAGACCCCATGGTGAAAGAAAAAAAACGGAACCCGTGGCTCAGCCAGGCCATTCCCTGCGCCCCGACCTGATATCCTTGGCCGCTGCGGCCGTTGCAGGTGGCCTCGGTGTTGCCATGTCCCGGCCCTCGCGGCCCTCGCGGCCCTCCCGGTCTGCCTGCCGGGCCAGCCGGCGGCAACTGGTGGCCGCAGGGCCACTGGGGCTGGCCGTGGCACCCGTGGCACCTGGCGCCGCCCTGGCAGCCAGTGAACCACCCACTGTGATGAAAAAGATCGCGGATGGGGTTCACATTTTTGATCAAGCTTATGGCATCCCTGGCCTTGAGGTTGGTGGGAAGCTCAGATCATTTTGGGGAAGTGCATCCAAGAATGGGAAAGTGATGATGTTGAGAAATCAGAGTCCATGGCAGTGTGGCACTAAGGTGCCAACATTCCGATTCGTATGACCGTACTCAGTCTACAAGGTGGCGGGTACTTGGTCTACAATCCTTGCAACCCCACTGCCGTGACTTGACAGCCTGAACGCAGCTTTTTCAAATAGCCGCCCCTGGCCGTTGGCCCTTGACTGGACGATCTCAGGAATGCATGCAGAAATTGAACGAAGCTGGTCTGACAGACGTCCGATACATCGCTGCCTGACTCAACCAGCTCCAAACCAAGCAGTCAATCTGGAGTCCTTTCTGCATGTCCTTGTTTCTTGTTGAGGTATGTGGTACAGTGGCCATAGAGCACAAGTACTATGCCCCAGGATGGGCCAAGAGATTCCCAAACGCGGAGGCCTCCCAGCACAGCCTTGGCAGCGTTCCCTTTGACACCCCTTTGGGTCCTCGGTCCTGAGTATATCTTGGTTTTGCTGCTGATTTGCCTGGCAGGTCTGGGTGAGCCCCAGGACCTTTAGCTGGCCTGTCGACTTCGGACCATATGCTCCTTGGCTGGGCATGGGCAATCCTGACCTGGAGGGTTTTATTTTTTTTCACAATGGCTTGTGTCCAGCAGCTGGCTCCAGCAGTGGTCTTCCTTTTCTTGGCTGGCCTCCAGGTTCCTTTCGGAGGCTTTGCACGGGGAACTCCGCTGCAAAAAGTACCAAAAGATGCTGCCCAGGCACCGTGGCATTCCAAGGCAGGGTGTAGCTTGGTTGATGCCCTGCGGCCGGAAGGTGAAGCTCGCGAAAGTGAGCATGTTGCAATAAAAGTGCATTTGTTTGGGCGCCACTTTGGCCCTTGTTTCCTCTGAATTGGCAGGGCATCGACCATCTTCAGCTCACCGTGGACTATGCGCCCCGAACGGTCTTTGAGGAAACGGTGCTGTTCCACCAGCCGTCAGGAACCTTCGTGTGCACGGAATCTTGGCAGTACTCTCAGAAATCATCTCATTGTAGTCCCATTCTGGATTCTAGGTTTCGACCGTAAACTCCCCTTGCAAATGTCCACTCGCTTCTCACTATGTTCAAGTCTATTCCTACAGAGTCCTACAGCTATTTCCTGCAGAGTTGGGAGGGGGCTTGCTGAGGACATGCTCATCGGCCTCAGTGATGACCCACCAGAGATCCTCACGAAATCTCCATACAGAGAGGGGCTCCTCTACTTTGCGCGAAATGAGCCACTGGAAAAGGTGCAGGGTGGGATCAGTTGCACCAAATTTGATCCAAAACTTGTGGAAAAAAGGTGGAAAACATTGGAAAAGCCATGAACAACTACCCTTGTGAGAGGTGGATGTCGACAGCTTCCAGGTCATCAAGGATGGATACCAAAAGTTCCTCGGCTGTCAGCCAGGCTGTCAGCATCCGGTGTAGGATGGAAATGACTGCAGCGATTTGACCGTGGTGTGCTGAGGTCAACTTTGCTGCTGAACAACATCAATCCAAGATCCTTGCTGTCGGTGGCTGCAGGCTGGAACTTGGCCCATAGTCCAACCGGATGATTTTTCGGTCTCACCATGTCTCACCTATGGCTACAGGTGACTTGACTGTGGTGGATGAACTGGGCTTGGCATCCAAAGCGCCACAGCCGGAGCTGGGGTACTTCGGTTGGTATCCGTGGCTCGGTAACAGCAAATTCAGTTATATTTTCAAGCATCACAACCGGTCCCCATCCAGATTATATATTTGATAATATACTTGATATACAGCCGAATCAGCAATTTTGTGAGGTGCAACTGGCAAGACACCGACTCGCCATGTGCAAAGCTGAATGACCGAGTGCTTCCAAGTAAAGATTCGAAAGGCTTTGAGTGTCGCCCAGGCCCTGGGCTTGTGGCAGTTTCTTGATGTTTCTTGTATATGTTGGTTGCGTTGGGATAGGCTCCAGTTGCAACAGACATCAACAGACATCACCAGACTAAAAGATACAGAGTGTACTGTATACTACACTCATCATCGCAGGCTGGCGTGGCGAATGGGAGCGCTTGGCTGCCGGAGTCGAAGGAACTGGCTTCCAGGTTCCAAGTTTCGTCGCAGAGCTCCAGATTAGCAGGGATCCTGAAACGCCGCCTGGCACTGCAATTTGTGCCAAGATGTGTACTTTCTGAGATGTCAGCTGCATCGCCATGCGCAAAGACTCGCAAGTTGCCGTGTTTGTAGCACTTTGGGCTCACCCCATGCCGAGCAGAGGCTGGACAGCTTTGCCAAAGAGATCCCAAGACGGTGGCCGAAGATTGAAAGAGTCGTGTCGTCGCATTTCAGCTCTCCGTTGCCCGCAGCTTGGCAGCCACCCTCTGAGAGGAAATTTGGACTATACTTCCGAAGCATGTTATGATGTGTTAATATGTGATCCGATTTGTTTTTCTGGTGAGCCAGGCAATACATGTTTTGGATCGGTTTTTGCTAATTCACAGGGAACAAAGACTTTCATTGGGACTGGACTCATCCGTTATTTTTTGCGAGTAAATGTATGGTAGTAACACGATCGAACAAAGTACAAATAAGTAACAAACACAAATAGGTACTGTCATATAGCTAGTTAAACAACTAAAAGGACTAAAATCCAGAGTTCAAGTTCTAAACAGTTTTAATCTATAGAGTTTAGTGTTTGTAAATCAGTAGTGTTTTGTACTCCGGAAAAAAGTGTCTTCCGTAAACAACAAAATGTATATATATATAATACATATAATCAGAACAACATATAATACATATATTGAAACCGCAGATCTCTAGAGAGCCATTCAGATTAGTCGGGCGTGTTGGTCTCGAGGCCACGAGCAAGAACGTCAGCAAAGCCATTTCGGCTGTGTGCCGTGGTCCCCCGGGCCCAGCGGCGAGAACGGCAGACTTGAGCGCCATATTGAATTTCAGGGATTATTTAGAAGAAAATGACGCTTTTCAGCAGGCATTCTGCTGATTATTGATGGCATGATTGTTGATGGCATTTTTGCATATATTTGCTGGGTTTTCGTGCTTCGAACCCATCTTGCTCCTGATTTTCATCGACTATTGATTGGTTTTTGCGCTTCGGACCCTTGTTGGGTGCGGAGAACATGGCTTGGAAGTTAGAGTAGCAAAACCAACTCTGAACAAAGGAAAAGGAGTTACACTGAAACTGCTTGGTCTGCTATGGTGTTGTACTTTGTTTTTTTCTGTGCGATGCTGAGGATTTGATCTACAAACCAGAGAAAGGACGAGGAAATTGGACGGTATGAGTGAGCTTGCTGCTGTCCAACTGCGCGAAACTTTGCATCCTAAAATTTGCACCATCTGAGTGCCAGGAATTTTTGCAGACCACATGAAATGTCCGAGACAATATATTTTCCTATCCGAACTGAAGCAGGCTGCACCAAGGTGGCATCAACTTTTAGCGGAGTGGATCCGGCTGATGCGCTGTGCCCTGCGGAAAGACTCACTTTTTATAGCTTACCAATTGCCATGGGCACAATGTTAAAAAGGACGACTGGGGATGGAAAGCTGCTGGGTCCAGGCCAAGGGGCCCCAATTGCCACAAAGACAAACAAAGACAGGTTAGACAGGTTTCATTTCTTGTTGGAAGCAGGGCTTGGACAGGCCCTTGTCGATTGGATTTCCGAACTGCATCAGGAAAGCAGTGGAGGAGACCCAACATTGCCAATGTCTTAGACTGCCAGTGTTGAAAGTGTTGAGCTGTTGGGATAGTGTTTGCTTATCATCTGGTGCTTGGCCTACCGAGGTTTAGAACGAGATGCGGAGAGCGTTTCCTTAGCAGGGAAGCTTGCAGGTGTCAAGGACGCCGTTGGGATAAAATCACCGGTTTTTTTTCAGATTTCAGCAGGGTAGCATTCATCACCCACTCAGGAGACCTTGCTTCAGACTCATGGAAGCTCTACAGCTCTGCAGCTGGCCTAGTCACGATCACGACTGTGCTGCAAAGTTGCAATATGTTGCAATGGCACCAAGAGAAGCCTTGACCAGTTGTCTCGAGCAATGCCTGCGTCTCTTGGGTGCAACGAGCATGTTGGATTCATATCAGGCGTGTTTGAGGGTCACACTGATGTCAATACGTTCCATGTGCTTTGCAAAGGATTGGACCGCTGTCCTTGGATGCGAGATTGTGGCATTCTCGAACCGGGGGAATTTTATGGCCGGGCTGAGCTTTCGCAACGTTGACTCATGTTGTCGTCAAAGTTGTATTCACAAAATTCAGTGTGTGCTTTCTGACTCTTGAATCCTTGTGATTTCTTTCCTGAATGCTTGTGAAATGTTTCACATTTGGCAGGAACTTTGTAGCTTTTGCCAGGGTTCAGCTGTGTCTTGTGACAGGCTCCAGACAGAATTGCAGGCCTATGCTGCAAGACGCTTGTTCATGGTGTTCTCTCTTTACATGATTTGGGTATGGATCAAAGCTTGGGTACCAATCGGCCAACAAAGCTGGTCATTTTGGGTACTAAACGGTGAAACCCATCCAGTTGCGTACCTGGATGGGGTTTTGCAGCAGGTCTCTCCTACAGCCGCTGGAATATGCATCTCCCCATCAAACGTGTCAGGGCCCCAAACCACAGAATTCGGTCTGGCCACTTCAAATTTTCATTGCCGCTTGATTTGAAATATGTTTATAACATATCATAAAGCCACTTTGGAAAGCCATTCAGGTAAGGACAAAATCCATCAAAATCTGGATTGGGTTTGAATCCAAGGTAATTTGCAACTGAATATATAACATTATATAACTGAAAAAAAAAAAGAACACAAAGCTACAGCGCATGGTGGGTCTTTCAGAGCAGGTCGTCTCAGGTCGTCAGGTCGAGTCGGACGCTAAGGCGATGCATCAGCGATGCAGTGAACTGGTGCCACGGCCAAACAGCAAGGATTTTTCCAACTGTCCCATCCCTTGGACGAAATTCCCCTATCTCCGGGCCTCCGGGATCACGGAACATCATTTTGGTGAAGCTTGGTGGATTCTTCGGGATTCAATTGGAAGATGAAACTGCAGGTTTTTGGAAGTGAAACCTGATCCAAGAATGGGGTGTAAAGTCAAATCCAAAGCTCAATCATCATCATCCCCGCAATTTGAATAGCATTCGACCGGTGGTTTTCTCCATTTTCACACCCCCATTTGGTAGGTACTCTGAAGGGCTTTTGCCTCCGGGCCGCCGAGTGGCTCGCGATGAGGAGAAAGCCATGGCCTTGGGAATTCACCATTGTGGATATTTTATAGGTGGGGAATTGCACCAAAATCAATTAGTTGCAGATTTGACATTGTAAATACTTTTTCCAGATGGTCAAGACCATCCTTCTGCTTTTTTCTTCGTATGCGAGGAGGTTTCCCCAGTTCCTACAGTGATCTCGCCGGGGTTGTTCTACGGCCCTAGTCCGCCAGGTTCAGCCTCCCTCAGGACCTGAATATGCAGAAATGTGCCTTGGAAAAAAGGCTGCATCCAGCATCATAGTTGGGTGTGTTTGAAGATAGGCAAGCCCACTTGGGGTTTCCATAAATGGGGGGTTCCCCAATAGATGGATGGTTTACAATGGAACATCCTATTAAAATGGATGATTTGGGGGGTACCCCCATTTTAGGAAACCTTCAGTTATGGAGAGGGAGACAATTGCAACAGACCTTGCAGCCTAGAAGGTAATGAAAAAGAATGCAACTCCCCCACCCCTAAATTCAGCAACATACCTGTGGCAATGGTGATAGCCGTCACGCTGAGGTGTGTACGTCGCGCGAAAGGGGAGCAGATGGAAGATGACCAGTTGGTGTGCCAAGTTGTACTTCCGGACTTCGAACCTCCGACCGCCGATCTTTGAAAGATGCAACGAAGTATTTGCCTAAATATCTGCATCTAACATCTATTTACACAAATATATCACACATACATATAAATATCATAGATGTATACGCTACATATGCACATGGTGTATTGACCCGCCAGGATGCGGCTGGATGAGATTGAGGACATGGCCCCCATCGAATGGTTGGCTCGTTGGCAGTTGAAGGGCCTGGAACAGGTGGGCACTGAGAATCTGCGAGCGCGGCCCTGGGCCCAGATTTGATCGATCTGGCAGTGGGATTGCTATGATCTGCAGGAAACCGATACAGCGTAGATTGAATCAAATCTGGGAAGCATCCTGGAAAAGCTGGGCAGGTGGCTTCATGTAACTTTTCTTTCACGCGAGAACATTTGCAAGACAACTGTTGGAGTTGTTGGAGGATTTTTGGGGTTCTCCCAGGTTCAGGAATTGGGTTTCCGAGGGTTGACCCGCTCAAACTGGGGAAATGTTCACGCTTGGGAAACCGAGGCCTCAACCTGAGCCGCGAGGCTTTGCCGAAGCCTCAGTGCCGCCGTAGCTGGCCACCCGTGTGGTTGAGTGCAACTGGACCCAGGCGCGTTGGATGAGACCTTGGAGATCAGAGGCTCCAGCAGAAAGCAGTTCTACGACAGGCCTGGATTTGAGTGAGATCTGTAGTGCAATGAAGACGCGCCGAGATGGGTCGGCAGTGCTCTGTGCGTTTGGTCATTTTGTCCAAAACATGGATTCAAAGGTGAGAGAGAGATATTCCCAGACTTGGAGGTGACGACGATGAAATGATTGACGACATCGCTGATACCTCAAGAGCATTAAAAGCATCCAGCGTATTTTCAAGATGGTCAATGCTGGGGTCAATGCTGCCTCTGGCACTTTGCAGCCTCGGGTGGTCAGGTAACTTCCGGTGTTCTCAGGTTGAAGAAGCTGGAGAGCAAAGCTTTTTTGAAGAGGCTGTGGTACACATGCGTGCATCCGAGCGGTCCGAGCAACACCTGAAATGGCTTTTGTGTGTTTTTTGTCGCTTTTCATTTTTTCCTGAAAGTCTTGGATCCCCAGCTCTTTCCTCACCCATGCATCAGTGCATCGTTTTGCTGCAGCGCAGCAGGTGGAGGAGCCTCGAAGACTGGAGGCCCTGCAATGGTGATTTGCCCACCTGGACAGCAGCGGCATCATGCGGCATCTATTTTGAGGACAACTCTTTTCAAAATTTGAAATGTGAATGGCTAGGCATGTAGTATATACATGTTTATGTTACAGTACATGTATACTCGACACGGTATACATGTGAAATATATTTATGATCAGCTGTACACACACACACATATATATATATACACATAATTCCTATCATCCAGCTAGCCAGATCTATCTATTTGTTTGTTTATCCATTTATTTGCTTACATATTTTTCAAAATTTCAAACCGTCAGCATTATATATGTGACACTTCTGAATCATCGCTAGCAGGTGCGAGTTCTCATTCCCAACTGCAAGATCTTATCCTGCTGGGACCTTGGTAAAACCTTTGGGCTCCCTTTGTTTCTACTGCCTTTGTTTGGACAGGTAGCCGCGAATCCGATGAGTCGCAGGTGTTGAGGATTGAAGGTGGTTCAGCCCTCAGATTGATCCACCAGCTGGGGGATTAGGTCCATGCAGCTTTGGAAAAGAATTATGCATATGCATTGCAGGTGCATCATGTCTATATATGACATTATAATACACTATATGACTATAAAATACTATAAATGTGATATGCTTTTGCCCATGTTGCCCAGACCTGACAGTAAGGTTTGAGATGGCTTTTTTCTGCTCCGTTGCAAGAGTCACTGCAAGTGAAATTGTATTACAGAATTTGCAGGAGTGGACTGCAAGCTAGCTTTGGCCACTGCGCGAGCAGGCCATGCCTGAAACACTTCACTGCATTACAGGTTCGGGTCAAAAAACGGTTTTAAGCACTGAAGCACCCATCCATAGAAAACATGAGGAGAAGAACGACCTAACGGTTCTAACATTGGCAGAAAATGGCTTACAGTAGCAAAATCCAAAAAAATGTATAGCACTTCCAGCTTAGTCGGCTGGTACCAGGAGCTATGGCAGACTTCCTTCGAGCAGCCTGGGGCTCAACTGAGGGATTTGCAGCGGCCCCTGTCGCAATCATAAATGGGGTTATTGATTATCAGTCCATATCAGTCCCTTCCTGGAGAGATCTTGATCGTTCAATAGATTCTTCTATTCTTATTTACCGGGATCTACCAGGCAAATCCAGGCAAAGGATCACAAATGAGCCCATCCGAGTGCTTAGTGGCAAGGCGTTCACAACTCATTCAGCAGCTGTGTTTGTCTTGGACGGGAGCAGCTTCTCTTCTGAGGCATGGGATGCAGATGTTGGGAGCCCAAAACGATTGTAGCAGGCATGATTGATGCCATCAGATGAGCAGTGTTAAAAACCACTATTGTCACTATTGGTTGATGATTATATGGCGTTATATATGGCGTTATACTATTGTCATAATCCGTGATAGGATCATGGGAATCCGCCATATCACCGGGTACTATAAAGATCTTTAGCTGGGAGTCCGTCCCAGCTCCCAGGTGAGTGCAAATCTGTCCTCCATAGCTGTGATCCTGGGTGAGGACGACCTATTTTGGACATTTTTGGACCAGGGAATCGCCACCAGATGCCACCAGAACTCCCTACCCTTGGGCAGCTTATGATGATTAAAGCTGGGAAGAGTTATGACGAAAGCTAGCGGTAGCTAGCTGGAATTACTCTTGCTTCAGCATGGGGAGGGGCAGGTCAAACTCCAACACAGTGATTTTTCACTCGAACCCCCCAAGCTTCTGGGGCATTTTGAAGCGGTGTTGGAAGCAGATGGTCACGGGCTCAAATCCTGCCAGGTCTCTAGGCAATCTGCATTCAGCATATCAAAAATCCCATCATGAACCTTAGCTTTCGTTCACCCCCCCATTGGGCCTCAAGTATAGTGCTGTGGGAGTCGCGACTGGATGCGACTGGCTAAATTCTCCCCTTGCACAGGAGCCGCTGATGCTTTTGCGGCACGCTCCATCCACGGAGGCACACTGCACACTGAGAGACAACTCTGGTCGCTCTCCTTGCAAAGAGTATGGTGTGGTTGACCTGAAACAGCCATGGTATCATGGTGATGTGGAAACAATCTGGAGGATTTACATCACACATGCACAGATATAGATATAGATATAGATATGGATATATATATATAGATATAGATATAGATATACATAGATATATACAAGTCATTCTATACGTGGATCGTGTATTGATTGATATTTAAACATATTAGAACTCTGTCTGTGCTCTACACGTGCGGTCGCTTGATGAAGAATTTTGGGCAGAACTCCGCTCGAGGAGCCCAACACCTTGGCGGCGACGCAAACCTCCCGTGATGATGATGACGAGCCAGGGGAACTCGGAGAGTTTTGACAGGAAGATCCATGTGCAGTCGCCCTTGAAGGGCAAGGGATCCAAAATTCAACATAGTGAAACAACTACACATATATTAGTTAATAAATGAGGTGTGTATATATATATATATATATAAGTATTACTATTTATAAACAGAATAGTTATTTTCACCTTAATTTGAGATTGCTGGCTGCACTTTGCACTGCAATGTTTGGTGAGGTTTTTCGATGTACAAAGTGACATTGAGGACTGCTGCCAGTCCAAAGCAGCTTGGGTCAAAATGTCAGATCCAACAGGAACTCGGGTGAAAAACTGGGCTGCAATGGTGGCCTGTGGTAACCTCAACCATAATCAATCCCTGGCTTTACTTAACCAGAAACAGGTGGTAGAAACCATCCTTAAATGGGGTGTTTACTATTGGTTTCCCAACATTTGGCAATCTTGTCTTAAAACTGTATACCCCATCCCATCCATGGGTTAGTGAGGTATGTGACACACTCATTGCATATATATATATAGAATTGGTTATTTATCCCAACTATGCCCATTAAATTCCATCAATGTAACATTCAATCCCGTTAATGTCCTATTAAATCCCATTAAATCCCATTAAATCCCGTTAAATCCCGTTAAATCCACCAAATCCCACAAAAAATCCAATTAATATCCCTATCCTCAAATTTATGGGTAGTCAATTTGACCCATACCCAGGACGAGGACTTCACATCACTGACATTGACCCGTGGTAAAGAGGCCATGGGGCCTTGCCATCTTGGAGCCCTTGCTCATGTGGATCACACCTGTTTGGATGTGCGAATTTCTGTACGGTATTGAAATGTATTGAAAAATGTATTGATCTGGCAGAGAATGAGAGAGAGAGAGAGAGAAGCATTGAATATTATTGAAGAGTATTGAAATTTCAGGGCGTGTTTCGTTTCCCCGGTGGGATCGTGGAACCAAGTTGCCAAGGGCTTGACAAACTTGAGCCGCCAAAGTTGCACATGGGACTTCATGGGACTGGTGAATTCGTGTTGGAAGGTGGTTGTTGACAATTGTCGAACGACAGAATTGCACTGATTACATGTAGATATTAGACCCCCTGGACACCTCTGACTATGTGGGTGAAGTGTGATTATTTTTCTTGGTCTTACTGTTTGCACACACGCACATCATATGTATATCTATCTTGTAAAAACTCCTGCAGTAAAACCATGTATTGTATATATATCATCGATCTGCCCGATAGCGTTGGTTCAAAAGAGCTGAGTGCTTAGCGGCTTGTAGGTCACCCCATTGGTTAAATATCACATTGTTGGCTGACCTTGTAAAATACAGGTTATCAGCCGTAGTCTCACTACTTTGCTATGGGGACCCCAATTGACCATCCTCTCGCCGTTCCAGGGTCAGGTCCATCGGCTGTCGCTGTGCCTAATATGGCCGGGGGCAACCCCGAGCCGATGGATGACGAAACAATGTTCCAACCCGTTGTTGCGTACTTTACCTTCATACAAAACAACCTGTCCCAGATTACTAGTGGGAATACCCTGCAAGTCATGAGGGAAGCTGAACAGAGGCACCTTCAGATAATGCATGGAGTAGTTGACTCAATTCGAAACGAATGGTCAAGTAGACTCGTAATGCAGGAGCAGGAGTATGAGCAAAGGCTGCAGGAGGTTGAAGGTAAGGCCATTAGTGCCCTCAACGAGGAGAGGAAACGAGGCGACGAGATGGAGGTCAGGTTGAATCAGGCTCAGGCATCGCATGACAAAAGAATAGAGGATGTAAAGGCAGAGGCAAACACAAAGCATGATCAGAAAATTGCAGAGGAAAGGAAACGTATCACTAGTGAATTCGAAGCTTCCTATGCACAGACAGTTGAACATGCAAAGAATGCCATAGCTGCCACAAAGAAGCAATATGAAGATCAGGCTGCAATTGATCAGGCCAGGTTCATCAGTTTGAGGACTGAGTTTGAGAACTACAAGAAGGAGATGGCCGACAAGATCAACGAGGCAGCGGCTCAGAACCTTAGCCTTCAGGACCAAATCGATGATCTTCAGGAGCAGTTAAAGCATGTTGCCAAAGCGCAGCATGCCTCCGTTCCGAAAGCATCCGTCCAGAACGCCGAGCCGGCCGCTACCACTAGCGTGCCCCACTTCAATATTGCCACTCCCAAAGCATCCGATGCACAGGCTGCCAGAGGCAGTGATGAGCCGATTCTTGAGTTTAAGACGCCTGCAGTGTTGGCGCAGGAAGCAAAGGCCAAGTTGGATGAGCTGCTCAAAGGTGGCAGTCCCAAGCAAAAGCCGGCTGTCGGCAACGACCAGCCCCAATTGCCAACGCAGTCAGGGTTTTTCACTCCCACTGAAGCTATCAAAACTCCCCCAAATGAATCTCCTAAGAGCGCAACCAAGCAACAGCAAGTTATGGGTCCCTCAGATCTTATTGAATTGGTGAAAGCCTTAACCCAAAGGGAAGAAAAGGATAAGCCAAAAACTAAGGAGGCTGAACTCATCAAGCTGAACAACATGCCCGCTCCGGAGTCATATAGAACTTGGAAGAATCATGTCAGGGATGAAGTGAAAAGCTGTTCAGATCGCCCGGATGAGGCGTGGCTCTGGCTCAACGAGGTGTACGATCAAGAGTGCACCAGAGAGCAGTTGGAGAAGAAACTCCAAGATCCTGGAAAGTTCCTCACGCTGGATACAAAGTTATCAGCAGCGCTCACGCGCTCAGCCGGAGGGGACCTCGCAACTAGGATCTTGAATTTCAAGGAGCAGCAATCCCGAAAAGGCATCCAGGTCAGGGGAAGATATGTTCTGCTTATGTTTGAGGACTACTTCAAGACATCAGAAGAAGCAGGTAGCCTTTACAGAGTAGAAGATCTTTTGGGTGTTGTCAAAGTAGGCGATACTGTCCAGGATCTCCGAAGATTCATCAACAAATGGGATGCTACCCTAGCTGGCATGGCTGTCACCCCTGATGATGCTGTGTTAAGGGACATCTTGTTGAGGCAGATCCGACCAAGTCAGTTGCTGAAATATGACATCGAGGTGTTTGACCGTGCTCATGAAAAATCCCATGAAAAGTCTTACAGTTTTCTTCACCAATCCATGAAGAACTTGATCGATCGTGAACGATTGAGGGAGAACAGGAATCGCATTGCGGAGAAGAACAAGGCTGGGATTAAGGACACAAAGGCCGCACCCGCCAAAGGCGATGGTCGCGGCGGCCGAAAGGGCTCTCCAAGTCGCGGTAGATCGCAGGAACGAGGCGGCAAAGGTGACAAGATTTGCTATAAGTTCCAAAAGGGTACCTGTGATAAGGGGAAGAAGTGTCCATTCAAGCATGTCAAAGATGATAAATCTCGAACTCAATCACCCAGAAGAACCAAAACACGTTCACCATCAAGGGGCAATAAGGACGATAAGGGAAAGAAGATGTCCAAAGAAGAAATGGCCAAAACCCCATGCATCTATCATGCCCAGGGAAAGTGCAGACGTGGTGACAAATGTTTTTATAAACATGATGACAAAGGCGCTGCCGCCACCAAAGACACCAAAAGGGCCAATTCACCTGCTCCCAAGAAGAAGGGCAAGGATTCCACAGCCGCTCCATGTCTGATCCAGAAGTTTGCATGCATCGTCCGAAAACAGCCGAAGGCAACTTAGTGCTCTGATGAGGCAAGTGTCAGCATGAAGCGTCTTAGATTCCGAAAGGCCCCACATGTGATCGAGGTGAAGGCAGTTGGTCGTCAAGTCCCAGTCAAGCACCGTCCAAGAGAGTTCACTAAGGTGTACAAGACAGCTGAAGATGTTCCAGTTTCATCAAAGGTTGAACAGCATGAAGCTCAGGTTCGTGCAAGACAGCTCCAAGAAACTGTGAAACTTCATGATTCAGATGTTGCACCAAGTTGTGGGTTTTGTTGTTGGAATGAGGACACACGTGACGTCACATGCAAAGAGTGCAGGTTCATCAGCGGTCCCAAAGCCCTTAGAGACATTGGTCGTTTCCCGTCAATTGCCACAGCTGCGCCAAAGGCCGGCGTTAGTTGGCTTGTTGACTCAGGTAGTGAATCCGATCTTGTGTCCAAAGGAATGCTGAGGGATGTAAGTGCCAAGAACTGCCGTGCAGCCGAGCATCCGATTTCCTTAGTCACAGCCAATGGTTCGACCGAGGCAAACGAAGTTGCCGATGTCAAGTTGTCCGCATTGCCAGATCCCGTGCATCCGTATGTGCTTGATCATACCCCAGCTGTGCTCTCTGTAGGAACGAGATGCGTAGATCAGGGTTACAGTTTCGTATGGCCTGCCAATGGCAAACCAATCCTAGTCCGTCCAGATGACAAGGTCGTCCAGCTCAAGATCGAAGGTCATGTCCCAATCTTGGATGATAGTTGCAAGGTTTATCCCAAAGATCAATTTCAAAAGGATAAGCACCTCAAAAAGTTGTTTGCAATGCCGACCTCACGGTCGAGCTCAAAAGCCAAGCGGGACGAAGCCCAAGATGAAGAGCAGTTGGATGAGCTGGTGGAGGATGACGCTCAGCAGGAGTACATCCGAAGCCGCAAGACTGAGGACCTGTTGGCTGAAGCTGCGAGTACCCAACATCAGTACACGCATTTCCCCAAGAACCCCTTTTGCAGAACCTGCCAACGAGCAAGGATGATGGCACCTCAGGCACGAAAGAAGGGTGGTCAGAAGAGAATCGAAACTGAAGTGTTTGGTGACCACATCATTGGGGATCACGTCATCATCAAGAAAAATGTAGAAGAGGGTTTCAGGGGGGAGCAAGTTGCGTTGGTGTTGAAAGATCTGCACACCCAATATCGGTATGTCTACCCTAGCCAGTCCAAGGACTCACAAAGCTGTGTTGATGGTTTGAATCACTTCATTGGATCAAAGGATGATGTTCAAGTTGTGTACACTGACAATTCCCCAGAATTGATCAGGGCCATCAAGGATTTGGGTTACAGACACCAAACTTCCATTGAATACGTAGATTCATCAAAGTCTTTTGCTGAGCGCGAAGTTCGTCAGATGTTGGAAGGTGCCCGGAGCAACTTGTTGCAATCAGGACTTCCTTTGAAGATGTGGCCATTGGCCATGCAGCATCATGCGACCGCGATCAATGCAAGCCCCCAGCTTGACGGCAGTGATTCCCCATGGCAACTCAGGTTTGGTGAGGAGTTCCCTGCAATGCACATTCCATTTGGTGCCAAAGTGTTGTTCTGGAATAACCCCAAGAGGTTGGATAACACATCAGGTAAGCTCTCCCCAACAGCAAATGAAGGAATTTTCCTTGGGTATTACATCCAACCAGGTCATGATTGGAAGGGCGAATACCTAGTTGCCAAGTTGGAAGCCGCAGATTATCATGTCAACTGGGGTGCACTGACAATCCAAAGAACAAAGAGGTTGGAATTGCCATCCGAGGGTTTCATCTTTCCTTTGAAAGCTCTGATTGACTCGAAAGCACCCAAAGCCGATCGCCTCGAGGACCAGGTTATTCCGCAGACACCCAAAGCTGTGCCTCTTGAGTCCAGTTTGCATCCACCGCAAGATGAGTATGAATACGAGCCAGGTACGCCTCTACCAGCCGACAGCGATGTCGAGCCTGATGCACCCGAAGCGCCCGTATTTCCAGATCTCAAATTGACCCCCAAAGGTGAAATTATTCCAGATGGACATCATTGGGATGGTCACCGGATTGTACGTAACTACAAAGGTTCAAAGCGTCCGGAGGGGATCGAC